TAGCGGCACGCTACCGCCGGCACACACACCAGAAATTTTAGAGTGTTTATTATAGGTGGTGTATTCATTAACGTTTCTGAGTTAGGGTAGTTGTTAACTTTATAGATTTTCAATAGGTATCATTGGTTAAAGTTAAGGTGAGAGTTCGGTTGAGGTGTTGTTGGTGTTATATAGGTTCGGCTGCTGTTGGTGGTGTTGGTGCTTATATAGGTGGTGGTGAGGGGTGTGGTGTATATTTAGGGTTGTGGTGGGTGTTGTTGGTGTATAATAGGTGGTTGGTGGGTGGTTGGTGGTGTTATATAGGTTAGTGGTATTACTTAATGTAGATTTTACTATCAACTTGGCGCATCTGTGGATCAGTGTGATTGATGCGTTATTCGAGAGTGGTTATGAATTCGAGTTTGAAGTGTTTATGTTGGTACAGGTTTTCGAAAACTATTGAAGAGGTTCTTAAAGAATCAGACTTGGAGATTTAATGAGGGTCGATTTGTCTGCTGTTGAGTTATAATTTTCTGTAGTGTGTTAAATCATTATTCGCGATGGTTTGATCATCGATCTTTTGATCACCAAGTTAATGCTCAAAACTATCCAACCTTTGAAAAGGGAATGCTAAGTATCATACAACTTTTATGGGGGTTTAACTCTTAAGTCTGGTTTGCATCCATTATCGTTGATTTACTTAAGTTAATGTCTCAAACCATTAGAGACACCATATTTATGGAAATATGGTGGCATAGAATGATTTGGAACAACATGCCAGAACTACATAAGTGGTGTCATAACTTTTTAAGAGTGCGCGGTGGCGTGTCTCATGTGGCAAACTCTCTCTCTCTCTCTCTCTCTCTCTCTCTCTCTCTCTCTCTCTCTCTCTCTCTCTCTCTCTCTCTCTCCCTACCAACCCTGCACTGCAAATTATACGAGAGGACGATCAAATTCGGAATGTCGGTATGACGGCTGTGGCGCTACATCGGTCGTCCGTGCATGTCCAGTACTGCATGCGTGCACGTGACGATTTTACTATGCGCGCGTGCAGGCTTTATGAGACAGAAGGCGTGCGTGCGCGCATATCACAATGGTCGGCGTGGATCAGTACACGCACGCGCGCATGCTGTGACGTTGCCGTATAAACGGCTGTACTCATTCGCATAGGAAACGACAGCGACAAGGTCCCCGCATTCACACACAGCCCCGCACTGTGATACGGACAGCATGATACGGTCACGCCGTAAGCACCGCAGACACGCCACTGTGCATGCTATATATAATCTGAGCAACCTGTACGAAATTGGTCGGGTGTGCAATTTTAAGTACAATTTTAAGTGCTATTTGAAATTGCACGGTCCCATTGCCACCTTATCAAAAAATTATTCCACCATCACATTTTCACTTCAATGCTTGCACTTTCGTCGTCGTTATCGGCGTCAATAAGCGAGTTTTGGCTCATGCGCTCCTGCTACGTATACCTATATATACCTGCCTGCTCTATTCATGTGACGCTATACCCGCGTCCGGTCACACAAGGTTGGTATGACGCGTCAACTGACCGAAATAGCGCTGACGTCTGCCACTGGTATAGAGTCACTGTTGCCACTATTGGATAGACCCGTGGCCTGGGTAATGGGGTTACACGGGTAGAGCTATATAGAGGCAAGGGCCATGACGGCTTGGTTTTTACTGTAGATGTAGAATAGCTAAACTCTCAAATCTATGGTCTTACTCATGAGGTGACATGGCTGACATGAGATATGCTGTATAGAGTGTGTTGTGACGTGCATGTCTGGTGGCCGCTGTGCGGATGCACAACACGTGCCGTTGTTATTCTATATGCTATATTTCCGTATTCAGATATTACGTGTCAGTCGGCAACAGCTGTCTCCCTGGTGCAGAACTCTCTCTCTCTCTCTCTCTCTTCTCATCATCTCTCTCTCCTTCTCATCTCTCTCTTTTCTCTTCCAATCTCTCTCTCTCTTTCTCTCTCTCTCTCTCTCCAATACCTCTCTCATCTCTTTCTCTCTCTTTCAATCTCGCCTCTCTTTCCCCCTCTCTCTCTCTCTCTCTCTCTCTCTCTACTCTCTCTCTCTATCTCTCTCTCTCCTCCTCTCTCTCTCTCTCTCTCTCTGCTCCCCCCCTCCTCTCTCTCTCTCTCTCTCTATTTATATCACTCATTGTCTGTATTCCCTTGTCTACGAATATTCTGATGCTCTGTAACAATCGACCCCGTTCTCTGCCGTGTCCCTTTAAGCGTATTTCTTAATAATGTATATACTGGCCATAATCGCGAATGTTACATGTTGTTCCGAGCCACTAGAAATAAGGCGGACAACTAATCTGGCTAAGTTTACTATCTATTTCTATGGTCCACAGGCTTTTTGATGTGTCATGTGGGACGATGGAGAAGCCGCTGCTAGAGAGCCCCTCGTGTTCTGCTCTAAACTGACCTTAATCGGTATCCATCTCATCATACAGTGATTGCTACAAGACCATCGGCTAGCACGAAATGTAATGCCCATAATTTGATGTGGGCCTTAAGAATCCTCTAAGAATTTTGGTTTCTCTGGGACGTGAGTATGTGTGTTTTTAGATTCTAGCGGTTTGGAAGAAGCGCGCGCACGATTAGTTAATGCGCATAAGCTTCTGTTGACATGTCCCGCTCACGAGTTTTAGGGAGAGAAAGAGTTAGGAGGAAGACGAGACAGCCGAGAGATAGAGAGAGAGAGAAGACGCAGAGACAGCGAGGGGAGAGAGAGAGAGAGATGAGAGAGAGAGAGAAGCAGATGGAGAAAGAGAGAGAGGAGACCGAGACGCGCAGAGAGAGAGAGAGGAGAGAATGAGAGAGGAGAGCGAGACTGGGAGATGAAAAGGAGAAGAAGAAAGAGAGAGACTTCACGCGGCATTAGTCATAGATAGATGCGAATCAGCCTATGAGTAACATACAATCGCCTGCATGGTTAATTGTAGGCCTATCGTGCTTGCGCGGACATGCATATGCCGCGGAATTCAGACTGATATAACTAGTGTTGTGTGTCGTGTGTGTGTGTGTGTGTGTGTGTGTGTGTGTGTGTGTGTGTGTGTGTGTGTGTGTGTGTGTGTGTGTATGTGTGTATGTGCGAGGGTGCGGGCGCTTGCGTGCGGCAGTGCCTGCGCACGCGTGCGTGTGCCTGTGTGTTCGTGCGTGCATGCCTTCGGGCGCCGCGCGCGTGCGTGTGCGTGACCATATGGTGTTTTGTACCGAAACGTAGCTCCACAATATAAGTTGCGAGACACTAATCGTTGCTTAAGCTTCTCCTTACACCCCAATTCCCTCCTTTCTCACGACTCTTGCTATAGTGCCGTAAGGGAGAGAGGAGATGGCCACTTACGGGGGACGCATTGACGGCGACAGGGATGGGGGGGGGGTCGTTTGTTGAGTTTGAATGTGAGTGTTCGGCGCCTTTTGAAAATACTCAGATTCCGGTATATAGGTTAGAAGAAACTCCGAAATTTGTGTGAAATTCAGATATGTGTCGAGTGGCGCCATGTAGCCGCTCACAGAGGAAGAGATGACCGTTGAAAAAACAAACCGTTGAGCTTCGCGGACATTGCGTGCTGGGATTTCCGTGAGCTTCAGAGACAAGCGCAGGTACTGTAATAAGAAGCTTCTGGATTATCAATAGCCGCTCTTGTTGTTGCGCGCTATAAACTGCAGTAACTAAGTCCTCTCGTCTGTATAGCGTTGAAATAACGTGGAGTAGGAGGTAACCTCTCAGCACGTGGCAAGAGCATGCAAAGCTGCATACTTCACGGGATCTGCGGACGAAGACAAACCAGCTTAGCTCGCTTCCTCGAAACGCAACAATGCAACGGCGAGTCTTTGAGTCGATGAATTGACACGGATTATACGATTTTATTTCAAGGCGCGTCTTCTGCTCCGATGACGAGGCTAGGGTTCCGTCATGTAATTGAAACGAAGCTTCGAACGATTGCAGTTAGAAGCCGTTCCTAATAAATTGGGTTAGCTAATTGGGAACAAGAAGCACTTAAGCACGCACACGCACAGAAACACGCACACGCACGGAAGCGCCCACATGCACACGCACAGAAGCACTCATACGCACACGCACAGAAGCACTCAATACGTTGTGAATGTATTTATTCAGAAAATCGAAACACTTAATTATTTGCAATATAAATTGTTACAGCATTTTTACACGTATAAGTACAAGTGCACGGGTGTCGTATATCCATTAACCGTGACGTCAGAACAAATTAGATCAACGCGCCCTATTCTGTACATAATTTTCTTTTCTAATTCTGTTCTGTATATAATAGCTGTTTGTGGCGCAGATCATAGAGCTAGTCGCGCAATTCACCTGTGCTCCGTTTCAACAGAATGTACATAGTACGCCGTTATCTAATCAGTTTTTTGGGCTGTAGCGACCACTTTCTGGAAATTAATAATGGCGCAACCAGTGATAGCACAATGGGATATTCATTTCGAGGGATTCGACCGAATTCTGTCACCCGTTTGAATCAAAGAGAAATTGCGAGCATTTCATGTCTGATTGACGTTCGACAATTGCCAACCATGCAAGCACGCCCCCAAAAATACCGCTGCCTCGATGGTTCCGCACGTCATTACAAAACTGCCTGTTTTTATGGAAGAACACCAGGAATGTAACCGTGAGAAAAACACGGTAATTTTGAGTGAAATCTGCTGTTTTTTTGTGTGGAGAATGGTAATTATCATTATTTGGCATCTATATTGATATCAAAGATGGCCACCCGGCATGCAAAGAATATATACTTGAAACGTATAACTTCATGCTGCTATACAACGATCAGCCGTTCGCAAAAAGATTACACGAAATTACGTTTGATATGCTGAAAAAGCTCCGCTCCGCGTTACATTGACAAGAATTTTAATCCATGCTATTATTTTTCAGCGCCACATAACGCTGATCAAAAACGGAATCACTTTCACATCTACACGAAACTGGTTTGAAACGAACGAACACGTTTTTCGCGCGAAACAACGACGAGTTGTACGTATCAGCTGTGAATAATGACAAATTACTCTGACAGTATTCACCCATGGTTATTTCTATAACCACGATATCCTGCCCAGAGGAAAAACATATTTACAAACCAGCGGTTATGCGCGACAATCTGACTGCGGCGTCAGTGATCTTCCGACTAGTAGAGAGATGATGATGATCATTGCCGCTGATTACAGGTGCGTCTGTCTATCGCCTGCCCAACCTGCTCGGCCAGCGATGTATAGTAGCGCCATCGTAGTTCTCGCGTGCGGTGACAGACGATCGTGGGTGGTTGGCGGCGTACGTAGTGGTTGAGGAGGGGGACGGGAGGGAGGGGTCGATGAGTGTCGGATACACACATCGCGTTGATTACGTTATAACGAGGCGACGACACCGGATGTTCACACGCGGGAGACCATGCCCGACCTCAGCCGTGAGCGGGTTCGTCATGAGCAGGTTACTAGTTTTCCCTGCGAGTGCGAGCTCGAGTCCCGGTGAGTCGTGACAACAGTTGCCAATGGCGCGCGCACTCTACGCCGTAGTTGTTACACGCTGCAGCCTGCATGTGACGTCATCACACACCAGACGTCGTGTCTTAGATATTATATTGTACACGTTGCGTGTGACGTCATCACACACCAGACACGGCGCCGTAGATAATACACGCTGTGTGTGACGTCATAACACACTATATAGTCATTGTGCCGCAGATATTACACGCTGCGTGTGATGTCATAACACACTATAGTCACTGTCCCGTAGATGCTGCAAGCTGCATGTGACGTCATCACACGCTAGCGACGACGACGCTGTATCTTCCGTTCTCTGCCACGTACGTCGCGCAGTCGCCGATGCTGCTGCCGCAGTCGGCGACGATGGCGCTGTCGTCGGTGCTGCTGTCGTCGCCGCTAGTCGACGGCACCTTGTCGCGCAACGTCGCGTAGCGGTGAAGTTCGGCAGCGTCGAGGCTTGTCAGATGCTGAAAGCCGATTGGCTGCGAGATATCGGCCTTCGTCGGCAGTGGCGCGCTCTTGCGGCGGCGCGCCGGCTGCTTCCGGCGCGTGCATCCGTTCACGGACAGCGCCGGGTCGGACACGTCGCCCGTGCGACGTCGGACGGCAGCGTGAAACGCGTCGGCGACGTCGGCGTCGCTGAAGCGCAGACCGACGAGTTTCTTGTGGTCCGTGGAGAAGAACATCGTGTGATAGTCGGGTCCGAACGGCTGGTAGTTGGACAGGTTGTCGATTCGGTCTCTCCACACCATGAACCCCGTGCCGCGCTCCGCCAACACGAGAAATAGTCTCCGCTCCTGCCGACAGAGGGCGCCGCCGGTGTCGAGCAGCAGCACGGGCACGGCGGCGTGCAGCGGCGGCGCGTCGTCGCTGGCGACGGGCTGCGTGACGGGGCACGCGTAGACGAGGCACTCGCAGCCGCAGACGAACACGTCCGTCTTGTGGCTGCCGTAGAAGAGCTCGATCTGCGTCATCTCGTCGTCGTCGAGCCGAGACGGATGCGACGTCGTCTCGTCGTCGGCATTCTTCACGCGCGTCGACTGCAGACTGTCGGCTAGTTCGTCGGCGACGGTCGGCGTCGCCGCCGCGTCGACTGTATCGCTGCTGCCGTCCTCATTCCGAGCGTTGTTCGCTTCCTTCAGCGTTTCGTATTTGTTTTTTTGTTTTTTGTTGCTGCTGCTGTTGTTGTTTACGCGTCGCGGAGTCGTCTGGTGGATGGGCGAAGCGTATATGATGATCTCGTCTGCCGCTCGCTCGGCTTTCAGCTTGGCGGGAAGTTCCTCGTAGATACGCGGCGACCTCGGACCGAACGTTTCCATCGTTACGTCGTTGTCACACGAAACGGACTAATATGTCACGCCTAATCTTTTTGCGTTGCTTTCTTTGTCACTCCCTAGCTTCAGATGTCATCGGCGTATGCTCGCATCATCATTCTGCATTTCCGCTACCGTAAAACATTCGCGCGGTAAAACATCTGACGGGGCGGGTCGTCGAATTAACGTCGACGTATATCGCCTTAAACTCTATTGTCACCGCGAGGCGTCGCTGCCGATCGTTTGTCGGTATCGCCCGACTGCGTTCTGAAACGAGGCTACCGGCAGCGGCTTGTCGATGAGATAGACGTCGGCTATAGAATGCCGACGACTGCGCAGAAACCTTCTACGTACGCCACCGCTCAAGTTCAAACTTGTTTGCGCGCCGTGTGAGCCTGGTGCGTGGAAAGGCGCTCCTAATTACACGCGTCGGTTCTCGACCAAACTGCCTCTGCTTGCTGTCACCCGCGCTCCCCTCTCTCTCTCTCTTGCTCTCTCCTCTATCTCTCTCTCTCTCTTCTCATCTCGGCGATCTCTCTCCCTCGGTCGCTCTCTCGTTGTCTCGTTCTCACAGTCGATCTCATTTTCTCTCCTTTCCTCCCGTCCCTCTCTCGTCCGATCTCTCGGTCTCTGTCCCAGTCTCGAGCTCTCCTC